TGGCTCTGGTTTTGATTTTTGGGTTTCTTACTCTATAGCCCAAACTAGCCTTAAACTCACCACGAAACCCAGGCTGGTTCCAAACCCATAGCAACCCTCCTTCTTTAGCCTCCCAAATGCTGAGATTATGGGCATGCATGGCCACACACAGGTCTTTTCCTACTTACATCTGCTTTCCCCAAATAGGACCTAGGATGAATGCTGCTTTGGAAATCAGGCAACTATCAAGGCCATCTCATGGTAAATGACACAGAGCCATGCAGGTTCTATCTGGGCAGATGCTCAGTTTGTAAGATTGCCTTTTCTTTTGCCCACTTATAAGGAAATAAGGTTTCTATGAAGGAATTATTTATTGACTCCTAAGGACTCCCAAATCAGAAATTCTAGCCAGATGTGTTGGTGCACAACTGTAATTCCATCTCATGAAAGTCAGATGCAGAAGGATCACTGAGAGTTTGAGGCCAACATGGTCTATATAATGAGTTCTAGGTCACCTGGAGCTACACAGTCCGACTTTGTCTCAAGCCAGAAATGCTATCATCTGATACTAGAATAAAACCCCAAGTTTTAAGTTTTCTTTAATTGGTTACTCCTCTACCCAAGAGTCTTTTAGGGAAGGTTCAGATTTATGTATGCAAACAACTGTTCATTTCTGTCCTGCAGATAACAACCAGGGCATGTCTTTTCTGCATTATGGAATAACTCTCACACCTACCCCAACTCGAATAAAAAAAAAAAAATCATTCAGGGAAATCCATCAGCTCTCCATGAATCTCGTGAGCAAGAGTCTAATCTGCCCTTAGCCTTGCTTTGGGAATCCATGCTTGTTTGTCCATGCTTAGCTGGGAATAGGGGAAGAATCTAGCTGGCTACACCTTTTCTAATCTCCTAAATGGAAGAAAAGGACAAAAAGTGTATCCCAGCTGCAGAACACTTGTTTAGCACACACGTGGTTCCCGGTTCCATTCTAACACCAAAACTAAAACTGTAGTGGCCATCTGGGATAATATAGTTCTTCAGCGTCACACTTGAGTGTGTCTTCTCAACAAACTTAATTCATGAACAGCATAACTTCTATTGGCAAAACTGTGGCTAAGTAATAGGTGAAGAAAAACGAAGACTGCAAAAAACATTTTTTTTTTTCAGGCCTGCTGTTAACTACATAACCCGGGCTATCCGTCTGCCTCACTCTTCTAAACAGTTGCATTATGGGTATGTGACACAATACCAGCATCATAAATAAATAAATAATTGCATTTGGTAATCATGATGCTGTGAAATACACAATTTGCTGTTTGTCTCATTTTTTTGGCTTACAACTTTGAAACCTCTTGGAAGTAATAAATGTCCTTTGATACAGGAGTTAATTGACTGATCCTAGGTATCCCCCCCCCCCCCCCCCCCCAGCTTCAGTACAGGACACACCAAGGTGAGATTTGAGGGTTAGGTCATTTAGCTTATCCCCCAATCTCTGGGAAGAGGAGGAGCTGAAGGTTGAGCTGATCATCTGATGCCAGTGAGTTTATCGAGTAATCAAGTATGCATATGCAGTAAGGCTTCCATGAAAGCTCAAAGGGACAGAGTCTGTGGAGCATTGAGACATGAGGAGGATCACGGAGGTTAGCCTGCCTGGAGAATGTTGAGGCTCTGCCCGTCACTCTTCCACCTGACCCTACACAGCTCTTCATCCTGCTGTCCACCGTATCCTTTGTGATGCCACTTATAACATGCCACTATGATTTGGCAGTGGTATACAGTAGTGCTGTAACTATAAAGAAAGAATTTCCTTGAGTTCTGTGACTCGGTCTAGCAAATTCATTCAAACCCAGGAAGGAGATACAAGGACACCCCCCACCCCCTTTACATCTTGTGGGCCAGAAGCACCAGTTAAACAACCCACTGTGACTTAGGCAGTACTATAGGACTGAGCCCTCACCCTCAGGATCTAACACTATTAGTGCAGGCCGCTTTGCACACAGTCACAGATGTGTTCTGCATTATGACAGACGTAGGAGAAACTGAGCATATCTACTCAGCAATGATTATCTCAATGGCTATATCCATCCTGATGGCCTTCATAGAACAGGGAGACCATTACGAGTTCTTCCGCCAGATCTACCCACCAGGGCTTCGTGCAAACTGCTGGCAAGTTCTGCCAGAAGCATGGGTGTCACAGATTTCTTTGAAATCAAGCCAAGTCAGGTTGATCGCCCCCATGGTTCCAGGATTGGGGGGTGGTGGTAAAGCAGGATGAAGAAGGAAAGAGGAGTCAAATGTCACCACTGCAATCTGTCAACATCAGATTCAAACCCAGAGTCTGCCGCTGCCACTGTGGTGCTTTGATGTGTGGCCACTAAGGCTTAACTTTGTCCCTTTCAGGAACTGGATGGCTCTTCTGCCACCCAAACGGACCACCTGCAAGTTCCAACAGCTGAAAGAAATACCACTTGGAATAAACTGCCAAGGGCAGCTGATGTGGCCTTGGGAGCTGGCTGCTCTTTTGTGGCTCTCCTCCATGTGCCAGCACAGAGCGGATGTCCCCTATACCAGACCTCTGTAGAAGCTACTGCCATTACAAGGGACAGAGGAAAGAGACATTAGAGAGCCTCTGGCAGTGCTTTCTTTGTGTGTTTAGCTGGAACTGGGTTATGAGAGTTCACAGACAATGCTGGCTTCCCATCCCCCAAAGGTGAGGCAATCAAAAAGTAAATGTGACTCTCATGGTGGGTGCTGCCTAGATCAATAAGGGAGTGTTTCCTGGGAACCTTTCTCGTCCTCAGACCCTGCATCCTTTGCTGTGGGCAGGAGGCCAAGGGAAAGGCTTGTAATTAGTCTTAAGACAGTTGTTCTAAACTTCAGTTGGGTGGGATGAGCCTTCGGAGCTCCCACCCCCAGAGATTGATTCCTTAGGCCTGGTATCACTATGTCTACAAACTTAACAACCACATCCTGGTGAATCAGATGCAGGAGGCCCTGAGATGAGACCACCACTGAGAAACATTGGCCTGTGATCTGGGTCCTGTCCCACAGCAGCAGTCTGAAACCCAAGTAGGGTGACAGCAAACACATAGCTATGTAGCACCTGAGTGTCAAAGATGTTCATCAAGAGAGTCCACTGAGTCAAGTCCTGGGAACCCACAAAAGAACTGATGAGTAGAGCCTGGGTTTTTGGTGGGCAAGCCTTGTCTACAGGGAGCCACCAGCAAATGTCCTCAGCAGGTTTGCGATTCACCATGGCCCATGCTCACAGCAGACATGCAGAGAGAGAGACAAGGGCTCGGATACCTCAGCAAACAGGAAGGACATACACTCTCCAGAATACTCATAACCTGGCATCCTCAGATCACACTGAGTTTGTAGTGTCACTCTGCTGAATTCATGTGGTTTCCTGCACCTCATAATTTAACATTTGTTAGAGAGAGAAAATGATGTTATGAAACCCAAATAATGCACCGATCTGAGGCAGACAGCTGCTAACAAGAATGTGACCATCAAACTGCTGTGCACAGCTCAGCTTCAGGAAGGGATGTTTAGTAAGAAAGAAAGCCAGCACATTCTTCTCAATGGAAAACAAAGTCTGGGGCTCCATGAAGTGAAGGTGCTCGCACTTGGCCAGTCACACAGTAATAATAATCTAGGACCTCAAAAGGAAAAAAAGAGCGAGATAAAGGAAGGAAGGAAGGAAGGAAGGACAAGAATCTAAAAGAACATAGTCTTGCTTATTTTAATATTAAATTCCTGAAACACTCCTTTATTAATGTCTCAAAGGAATTAAATTATTAACCACAGAATCTGAAAGTCTCGCTTCACCAAAAGACAATGGAGATAAGAGTCCCCCAGGGGCTGGACCTTTTCTCCCACACTGGCTGGTCAATGACCTCCCTAACTCCCTGCAAATGATAGTTTGCCCCAGGCAAACAGTAAATTCCACTGAAGAGAACTGAAGACTACTGATTATTTAATGGTACTAGAAGGCATTGAGCTTTCAATTTGCAGGAGGCCAGGGAAATCATCTGGGCACAGACACTTTTATAGAGAATCATAGCAAGTGGTAAGTTCCCGATGCCCTTCACCGTAGTGAGGATGAACAGGGCTTGCATTTGAGGATTGCTTCCAGGAAATACCATGAATAAAGGCAAGAAGACACTCCGAGAAAGCTATATTTTTTTAGTATATAATTTTGATTTTAAAAAATCATGTATTTAAAGCTTGGAATGTTTGGGTTGCAACTCTTAGACCAAGGTTGTCACTTAGGTGACCAAGACCACCAATAAGCAAAAGGACTAAGGTCTGTCAGGAAGGCCACTGTATTTCACAAAAGCTTATTATAAATTTAAGAGAGAATTGAAAGAGAACCAAAGCATTGCCAACATGAAGAACAGACAAGAGTTTATGAAGACAATACTATCCTGATCATACAGTACACACTATATATTTCTTTCAAATGACCACATTGTTCTCCATTTTTAAAGGTTACTCAATAAGCACTTATTGACTGCCATCTGGAAACCCAACAACTCCACCTTGCCTGCTCCAATACTGATTGATTACAGAATAAGAGGATCACCAGATAACTGGACCTCCCGTGCATCGCCAGACAGCTAGACCTCCTCTGTCTGACTCATAAAACCCTTACATATTCAGCGAAAATGGAACCCATAGACCACACAGATCATTTGTTGTGTATAACAGTTGTGTGGATATTTGTGTTTTAGCTGTTGCTGTTGCTTTTTACTGCTTTGTTTCATTTTCCCTAATCACAAATGCCTTCCTCTGAGGTCTTGCTATCATGCAAAGTTCAGAAATGAACATATTAAGTTAATCTGGCTACTTTCTTGACTCTTTGTCATGAAAACAACATTTTGAAGAATGTCTTTTTGCTTGAGCTATGGAGGAAAATGGCTATGCACCGTATTCACTAAAATATCCCAGTATACCAAATAAATACTACCAGATGAAATTCAAAACATGTAAATGCGAACTCCAATGGGATGACTTACCCCAAACCATCCCTGTTTCAAGCTTGTTCACGCAGGCTGGAGTCTGCTCTGTTCTGCTCAGAGTCTATAGGAACACTACTTTTGAAGCTTCAACACAGATTCTTTCATGCTGCTCCAGTGTGCTGCAGTTTAACAAAACCAAACACCAAGTCAGAGTGGAAAATGCCACTTCAAGCAGTTAGTGAATATGAAGGGGAAATCCCTGGGCTTTCTCAGTGTCTGTCTTATAATGTCAAACAAGGATGTCAATCACCCAAAAGAAACTATCACACAACTCATCTACATTGGTGCCCTAAAATACTGGAAAGAGAGATAAAAGAAAGAAGCAAAGAAAGAAAGAAAATGAAGAGAAAGAGATAAAGGGGAGAAAGAAAAGAAAGACAGAAAGAAAAAAGAAAGACAGAAAGGAGAGAAAGAAAGAGAAGGAAAGAAAGACAGAAAAAAGACAAAAAAGAAAGAAGAGAGAAGGAAAGAAAGAAAAGCAAGTCAGGATGGTATTTTCCAGTAAGCATGTAAAATTTCAAGTTTACCCACTGTATGAAGGAAAGGGATGCTTCTTTAGATTTAAATAACTAAATATGATAACTTCTATGTGTCAAGGGTAGAAAGTAAAGGGAGTTTTGTTTCAAAAAATTACTCATTCTGCCCCTTAAAGTCTAAGACTTCACAGTGTAATGTTGTACACCTGCAACACCAGCATCGAGGAGGTAGAGGCAAGAGGATCAGAAGTTCGAGACCAGCTTGGACTACACTGGTGGGATTCTGTATTTAAAAACAAAAGTACCATCTGGTTGTTGAGAAAATAGTATTATTATCTAAACATAGAGCTTTAGGGACAGGAAAAAAATGAAAGAGAAAGGAAATTTCCATTTTGTACAGCAAATGGGTAGTTTCTGGGTTTCCCCCACCTGCCTCTTGATAAACTTGATAAATACCATCTCTTCCCAGGGTGGAAAACGCCAGGTACTGTACACAGTAGACATGAAGTGAATGGTAAAGGTATTCATGCCTCTTCACCTGACTCCAAACAGCTGATGATGCCTACACTAGAACTGCCAGACATGCAGCCATTCTGGAAAGTTCTTTTCCTGCCATAGCTGTATTTAGAGTTTTCCTATGCCCAGCTATGGTTCCGGGTTCCTTTTGTTTGTTTGTTTGCTTTTATTTGTTTATTTATTTATTTTGGACAGTGGCCACTTGAGGGTTTGGAGGCCAACTTCCAAGGAGTGTGCATCCCTGTTTTTTATTTGTTTGCTTGCTTGCTTTGTCATAGTTGTTTCCTATCTAGTTTGAAAGCCTGCTGGAGGGTTGTCACCCACTGGGAATTATGACAGATGCATCATACTACAACTGTAATCACAGGTGTTGGAGGTGAGATCCTGAAGACAGGCTCTGTGTCTCTCCCTTCTGCTATTAGACTGCCCCCCAACCCTTTGCACTTATAAGATTAGTGTGTTCAGCCAGCATGTTGACAGGCTTCAGAGATGAAGTGATCTCCAAAGGAAAGACACAAAGGCCAGGCATGGTGGTGTATGGCTGCAGTCCTTACAGTTGAAAGATGACCACAAATCCAAGGCTAGTGTAGTCTATTTCTCAAGTTCAGAGTGGCCAGCCTCAAATAGCATCAGAAGGAAAAAAAAGGAAGCTCTCAACGATCCATTTTATCTGCCTGGAACTTGAATAAAATGGTCTCTAACACAGAAATGGAGGCACCCTGGACCTAGGTCCCCAACCATCACATGAAAGGACCCCTTGACATGCTCCATCTCTCATGTTTTGGTCTTTGTGTCATAGCTCTCCATGGGCACAGTATGGATGAAATTAGATTCTTCCCCACACTAACAGGTGGATGTAATGTAAACAGATCTGTCTTCCATTACCAGTTTCCTATTTAGTATATAAGGAGCTGAGGCAATGCCTGGCCACCACATGAAATGCTTAACTCTACTAATCTCAGACGGTTCTGGGATGATCAACAAAGCTGTTAACCTATGACCCACTTATATGAGAGGTAACCTTTCGTGTATCCCTAGGTCATTGGGATAACTAATATTTTTGTTTATTTTCTTGAGATAGGGCCTCAAGTATTCATCGAGCTTACTATGTAGCTAAGGATGACCTTGAATTTCTAATCCTCCTCCCTCTACCTCCCCAGTGCTGGGATTACAGGTGTGTGCCACCTTGCTTAATCTGTGCTATGATAGGGATCAAACCCACGGTGTCGTGCATTAACTAAGCAAGCACTCCAACAACCAAGCTACATCCTTGGGCCCATAACTGACCCTTTGAAAGACTCTGTAAGCTATTGATGTACAGAACAGTCAACATTTTCTAAGAGGACTTTTGGGGGCATGGTTAAATTCATGCAGACAATTCTCAGCAACTGCTGAGAAGCAGAAAGTTCAGGGTTCTTGGTTAATGTTCAGTTAAGTGAATAGAGTTTTGTACCATGTAATACTCAGTCCTGGAAGTGCATCTGACAGGAAACAGAAATGTCCTTTTGTTTTCCTAGATGAAATGGACACCCACAAAAAGTGGGGTTGTATGGGTGCCATTCATTTTCTGAGCAGTTTTCACAAAATATAACTCACACTCACTGGGATACACAGTAGAAACAGTGACACAAATCAAGGTAATCCCAAAAGTTCAAAGAAAAACTGTCTTGGAAAAGACAGAATTTGGAGGGGAAAGGAGGGCTTTGGTCTCACAGTAAGTTATTTATTGATATTGAGCTTTTTTCCCTTGAAACTAAAAATAGCTCCCTGCTCTTGTTTTCATTGCTAGTAACTTCTATCTGGGTCTTACAGAGCTGGGCAAGATCTCTTCAACTTCATTAAACTTCTACAGAGAATCTGCCCTCTGGCCTGGAGAAAGCCATACACATCTTAAAGACACACAGGAAGTGAGTCAGAACTCTGACTAGACATTTGGTTAAACTACTTATGCAAATTGACTCATTTTTAAAAAAAAATTTATTTTATCTTATTTTGAGACATAGCCTTGACTTACAGCCCAGGCTGGCCCCAATCTCATGCAGCCCAGTACTGGGATTGTAGGAATGCTCTTTGGTCTTTGAAGGATATTAATCGTTTAATATAATAGAAAGTGGCTTTAAACCAGAGCATCTCACCAGAAGCCTCTCATTCCTATTAATACAGAGAGCGCAATGTTCAGATTTGCTTTTGTCGGAAACAAAGAAATTCATTTCCGGATTACATTCCTGTCACCTGTCCATGAACAAATACTCTTTGTGTGGGGGGAGGGGGTTGGGGGTTTTGCAGAGAGAGAGAGAGAAAGAACTCATCCAAGGCACAGCAATTTCCATTTTTCCTCATCCCAGGGGGCGTGGAGTTAAAAAAATGGTTCATTTCGTGATTCCCAGTCAATCCTCAATTATATACACTGTGGTAGGTAGCAAAAGAAAACCACCAGCTGGACAAGGGGCACAAACATATAGTCCCAGAAGCAATGGGGAATGGAGGCATGTGGACCACCTTAGTTCCACCCAAGCTACATAGTGAGCAACAAGACAGTTGAGGCTATATAGTAAGTAACACCTTGTCTTAAAAAAAAATCAAAAATCAAAATGAAACTATACAGACAAAAAAAACACAAAACAAAACAACAACAACAAAAAACATACAACTCTGAAAACTCTACAAATCTCCTTTTAAGCAAAAGTTTCCTAAGGGGTGCTGAGTGCAGGTTATAGATTGAGGAGACCCTGGCTCCCATCCTCAGCACTGCATCTGTAAGAAAAAAGATGTGTTTGTACCGCCAGGGATGCAATCCCAGGCTTAATGCATGCTAGGGAGTGCTCCACCATGTAGCCACACCCCTGACTCTAAGACAAAGGAAATCCAATCTGTTCCCTTTTCTCCATCACACCCTGCACTAGCACTGGCAGCAGCAAGCAGGCTTAGGTCTAACCTTGCTAACAACTTGTTCTTGTCTGCTGGTTGGTGGTAGTGTCAATACAAACAGAGGGGATGGACAGGAAGCCTGGTTAGTTCATCACTTGCCCAGCACAATCAAAGCCCTGGGTTCTATGCCCAGCAGTCCATAGACTGGATATGGTGGCACACACCTGTAACCCCAGCATTCAGAAGGTAGAGGCAGGAGGATCAGAAGTTCAAGGTCATCTTTGGCTACAAAGTGATTTTTGAAGCCGAGCTGTGACACGTGAGATTCTTTCAAGAAAATAAAGCCAGCAACAATACAAAACAGAAAAAAAGAAAAAGCAAAAATAGAGTTCCAGGACTGGAGGTGGGAGGTGGGGGAAGAAGCAGACATCTTTGAGTACGTGACTAGAGACCATGAGTGTGCAAAGGGCTCTCTAGGATGCTTCCCAATTCCATGGGCATTTTGGGGATACTTTTCTGTAGGATCACAACCAAGGGGTGTAGGGAGACAACGTAACCATGCCTCCTGAGGGCTGGCTACAGGTGTGCCTGACCACGCCTGTCAGGACATGGTCAAGGTGAGGTCAGGATGACTCGGGATAGGTTCTTAAGGGGCTGCGAGCACATGGGAGGCCCCTTCTCTCTGGCCTCGCTGCTCGGCTGCCCTGGGCATGCTCTGGCTTGCATTTGGCTGGTATTTATCTGAACAAAGGTATCTTGACAATCAGGACTACGGATCGTCTTCGTTCTCGTTATAAGTGGTGCCCTGTCTCCCTACAAAGGGGTGCCATGTCAACATAAGGGAAGCACAATGACCTTGCCACTGTGAGGCTTGTTTGCCAATCTTGGTCTAGCTAGATGGATTTCTCAACTAATGTCTCAGCCTCCCAAGCAGACTTAGTTCCTAATGTATCAGATAAAATTCCCTAAAATTAACTGTTATTTAAAATTCAAGTTGTTTTTACATATTTTGAATATTCTAATACCAACATGATCTCTATGACTACAACTGTTACTTTCTGTGACCTGTTTGAGCTACTAGGTATAATCTTCACAATGACACAATTAGACACAGACAACATAGGAAGGAACTAATAATATCGTTCCCATGGTGGAATCTCTCTCCTTGGTGGTAAAGGTGTAGTTCATTCAATCAATGCTACTGGGAAAAGTAGCTCTTCATTTGGAACAAGCAAGACACTTTATTATATATGGAATAG